ATATATATATATAATAAATCCAAATTGATTATAAGGTCTTGAAGATCTACAGTTGATTATAAAGATCATGATATCAATTTTAACTTTTACCTTTCCTTTTTCTTGACGCATGTTAAAAAAACTTACTACTTAAAAGTTGAAATTTCAAGTGTTTTCTGTGTTATATAAATGAGGAACAATCTCAACTAAATAAAGCAAGTCAATTAAAGAGAACGGAGAAAAAAATAAAACAAGAGAAAAAAAATAGAGATAGAATGGGAACAGTAGTACATTATTATATATGAGCAATAGTGCAATATTATTAGCAAGAGAAAAAAAATGGAGAAGACATGAACATAGAAAAAAAGAGAGATGAAAAGTCACTTCAAACAATCCTCCAAAATCTTATGGGTTTGGATGTGATTGTTTTATAAATTTGATATTTATAGATACCACTAAAAAGTCCTTCAAAATCTCTCTAATACAAAAATCCTTTAAAATCCCTATATTTTTTTAATACTAATGAATTGTTTTTAAGTTGTAAAAAGTCTCAAATGAATACCAATGAATTTTAATAGACTCTTAAAAAAATCTTGAAAATCCAGATTGACTACCACTAAATTATTTTTAAGTGACATAAAATCCTGATTGAATACCAAAGGTCTTTTTTAATCAAAAAAAGTTTTTTTAAAATCTTATGAAATCCTAAACTAATACACCCTTATAAGTAAGAATTAAGTAGAATTTATAGTTGTAAAATTATATTTTATATAATTAATTTTTATAAAATAATTTATTTAAACAATTTTGTATTAAATAAATGTGTAAAGTATTTATTTTGTAATTTATTATTAAATTTTAAATTATATTATTTAAAATTAATTAATTTTGTTTTAATGTTATATGTATATAGTTATATTGGATTATACATGAAGATAATTGAATATGACTAATATATATAATATATTGATGAATAAATATAACGTTTTAAACAGTAAATTCACAAAAACACCCTCATCTTTGATAGGATTTTTTTTCTTCAAGGAGTCCACTAAATTTCTACATAAATTCCATCAAATCATCTCTACTAATAAAGTATTGTACAGTATAATTTTACACAATTCTATGGCTTTTTATGTTCCTTCCCCTAATTCTCGTCTACCAAATTGGGGTTAAAGCTTATATATAAAGGTTAAAATATTTTGAGACTTTTCAAAATAAAAAATGAATACTTTGAGACATTTTTATAATAATTTTTTTTTTAAATCCTAAATTAATATATTTTCTATATTTGTGATTATGTATTATTCACTCTTTCTATGTTTACTCTTATATCTTAAATAAGGATGAGAATTGGTAAGATTTGACTTTAAATATATAGGTTATATTTATTTAATGAAATTAAAACTTAAATTTGATATATATTATAGACTTTTTTTATAGGTTTAGTCTGTCATTTTAAAAGTCTAGTTTGTTAACTTATTTTATATTAACAACGTTAAATAAATCAATAAATTTAATTTTAAATAGAGAATCATATTTTTAAAAACATACTCATGCACAATGATGGATGCAAGCATACGGTAGTGGGGGCAACTGCCCCCACTAAAATTTTGTTTATCTTCTTTTTTATATTAAATATTAATTATTTTATAAAATATATATTATTAATTATATTTTAATTACCTTATTATATCTAATATTAATTGTTTTATAAAATATTTTTTTTAATGATTATTCATCAATTTAAATTAATGAAACAAGGTATTAAATAATTTTTAATTTTTTTAAAATTTTATAAATTCGATCTATACATTAAAGACTTTTAATTGAACGGTTGAATACTTAATGTAAAACATGAATTATTGAATGAAATAAGTCTATCAAAATTTACTTTTAAAATAAGTAAATTCCTTTTTATTTATTACTATTATTATAATATACTATATTTTTTTGACTAAAAGTGTTATTGCTTCTTTACTCATTAAATGTGTCATAATTTAGTTTACTGATGTATGTTATTTTTCAATTTTATTTTATTTTTTAACCATTTAATCATATATATGCATATTATATGTTGGAAGGAGACAATCCACATTAAAAGGAATGAGAGTAATTGTCACACAAATTTTTTTTAACTTAAACATATTTAAATAAAGACATTTATTCTTATAAAAAAAATAGACATTGCACTCATAAAATATTTTTGTTTTAAATGAGTGTAGAAATTTATAAAACTAAAAGAAAACAAATTAATAATTTTATTATTTTTATCCTATTAAATTTTATCATTTTATTCCTCTAATATTAAATAAGTCACAAAATATTATAGAATGACATTTAAATATAATATCAAACATAAAGAGAAAAAGAAAAAATTATCACTCTATTTATAAGATAATTTTAATTTATTAAAATAAGGTATTTTAAATTTTTATCATATATATTTTTCAAAAAAATATTAAATTTTTTTAGTAAAGAGGACATAAAATATTTTATTGCCCCCAATTAACAAATTTTTTGGATCCGTCACTGCTCATGCATACTCATGTATCTCATAGATTATAATGAAAGAAAATAATCTTATTAGAAAAATCTTTCTAAATATTTTTCATATCTCATTTGAAGTATTCTGGTAAATTTTTTTAATTATTGTGTTTTTAGCAATAATTGAGGGTTTAGTTGTCTTAAGGTGTGGTTGAATGATTATGAGAGTTAAAGAATTCTCAAGAGTGTAATTACTTTTGAAGGTTCTTTAGCCAGAGATCTAGTTGACCTTGCAAGGAAAGAGCATATGAAGTTTCAATTAAGAATTGAGTTTCATAAGTTCATATTAAGCCTTAGAGAGATAAACTAAAGAGAAGCCTTATGAGTTGTGAGTTTCCTTCTTTTCTAAACCTTCTTTAGAAAGAATGATTCCTTTCCCAGAATCATTAATCTAATCGTGTTTTGTTGATTTAGGTCGGTGAATCATGAATCAAGTCATTGATTTATGCGAAGTTCTTTGGGGGAGCTTGAATTTCTTCACCATTCTTCTTTTCTCTTCTCTCCTCTAGGTGGTTTTGGAGGTAAGAGAAGCTATGGATGGTTTATTGTTGGTTTTTTATGTTGTCTGATTACTATTAAAATGTGTTTATGTTGATAGATTTTAGGATGATTTGATGAAAATGTTGAACTTAGGTGGTCGGGTTCATGAATGTGAACTTTAGTGAATTACTTGAATTATGGTTGTATGTGGCTATTTTAGTGTGAAATGGGTTGTAAATGATGTATATGAGTGGTGAAAGAGAATAATTCCTTGATCCATTCCATTAGAATCATCTGTTTATATACACATTATACACAGTACGCTTAACAAATATTATAATAAATCAGAATATATTATCATATATTCTAACACACCCCCGCAGTCGAAGCGGGAGGTCGCCGAATGCTAAGATTGTCCCGAAAATCCTCAAATAACACCAGCGAAAAACCCTTGGTGAAAATATCTACAATTTGATAACGCGAGGGGACATGTAACACGCGAACCTGGCCGCGAGCAACCTTTTCTTGAACAAAATGTATATCCATTTCAATATGCTTAGTGCGTTGATGCTGAACAGGATTTCCAACAAGGTATATGGCACTAACATTATCACAATATACCAATGTAGCCTTTTGAATTGGACAATGAAGCTCCAAAAGTAAGTTTCTTAACCAACATGACTCAGAAACCACATTGGCAACCCCTCAGTATTTCGCCTCTGCACTAGATCGTGATAAGGTAGGCTATCGTTTGGCAGACCAAGAGATTAAGTTATCTCCTAGAAAAACACAATAACCAGACTTAGACCATCGGTTATCTGTTCACCCACCCCAATCAACATCAGTATAAGAAAGAGGGGTGGATGTAGAAGATGGATATAGATGAAGACCAAGATCCATAGTACCTTGAATGTAACGCAAAATGCGTTTGAGAGCGTACATGTGCGCCTCCCTTAGGTCATGCATGAATAAGCATACTTGTTGCACGACATAAGTAATGTCGGGTCTTGTGAATGTAAGGTACTGAAGAGCCCCTACAAGACTCCTATAAAGAGACGGATCCTCAAAAGGTGTGCTTGTAGCAACACTGATCTTTGGTTTGGTATCAACAGGAGTAGGAGATGGCTTACACGATGACATGCCAGCTCGGTCAATGATCTCTACAGCATATTTTTTTATAGATAAAAGTAAACCACCTGCATGACGAGTGACATTGATGCCTAGAAAATAGCTCAAATGTCCCAAGTCTTTCATAGCAAATTTCGAGCTAAGAAGGGATATGATAGACTTACGAAGCTCATCAAAAGAAGCAGTCAAAATTATATCATCCACATATAACAATAAATGAGCCATAGAATTACCTTGACGATAAATGAACAAAGAATGATCCAAAGTATTGTGAGAAAACCCAAGAGTACGGACATAGTTAGCAAATCTCTTATATCAAGCCGTGGGGCTTGTTTAAGACCATAAAGATATTTCTTTAGCTAACACACATGATTAGGTCGATCAGGATCCCGAAACCCCAAGGGTTGATGCATGTAAACATTTTCCTTGAGTTCTCCATGTAAGAATGCATTTTTTTACGTCAAGTTGATGAATAGACCAAGCTTTAGAAAGAGCCAAACTGAGAACTATGCGAATAGTTGCTAGTTTGACCACTAGACTAAATGTTTCACCACAATCCACGCTAATCTGTTGAATTTTACCATCACCTACAAGACGGGCTTTATGCCTCTCAAAAGAACCATCAGATTTGTCTTTATGAGAAAAAATCCACATAGACTGAATTACATTAACATTAGGTGGACGGGGCACCAACTCCCACATCTTATTATTAATAAGAGCATCATATGCATCATCCATAGCCTTTTTTCAATTCAAGTCACGAAGAGCAGATACAGGGTTACGAGGTAGTGAGGACTTAGACACAGAGGTAATAAGAAGAGTGAAGGACTTCTTAGGCTTATAAATCCCATGTTGGCTTCTGGTAACAAGCCTTTTTGGTGGGCTTAGATGTGAGCTTGGAGTTGGGCGAGGAAGAGAGGTGGGTAGGGGGGGAGGTGGGGTGGAGGGGCTTGGCCTAGTCGGCATGGGAAGGCTTTGTTACTAGTTGGGCAAGTCAGTTGCTAGATCCGGTGAAATGGGCTCTAGCGAGTTGGGTAAGGGAGTAGCTTGTGGTCTTGTTTGAGTAGAGAAATGATAGACCATATAGGGAGATGGTCCATCATCTAAAAATTCATAAGTGTGATTTTGAGGAGTATGTAACTGTGCAAAGGGAAATTGCGTCTCATCAAAAATTACGTGACGGCTAGTGATGATTTTTTTAGATGATAAATCAAAGCATTTGTACCCACAATGATTCAGAGGATACCCAAAAAAAAACACAAGAAGTAGACCGAGGTTGAAGTTTGTTTATGGTTGTAGTAGGAATGAGAGGATAACATAAACACTCAAACACCCGAAGATGAGAATAAGATGGGTCCTTTTGATAAAGGATTCGGAGAGGAGAATAATTCCTTGATCCATTCCATTAGAATCATCTGTTTATATACACATTATACAAGGGGAAGAGAAGCATGGGCCAATAAGATACGAACAATTTTGTTGATTGTATGAATTTATCTTTCAGTTTTCCCATTTTGAGGGGATGTATGAGGACATGAAAAACGAAAAGAAATACCATTAGCTTTACAAAATTCCCAAAAAGGCCCATTATCAAATTCTATGCCATTATCAAATTCTATGCCATTATCACACTGTATATTTTTTATATGTCTCGTTCAAATTGAGTTCGGATGAGGTATTTGAAATTCAAAAATGTGGAATAAGTTTGTGATTTTTGCGATAAAGAAAATGTCCACAAAAATTTAGAATAATCATCCACAAACAAGACATAATATCTATGACCCGATGAACTCAAAATAGGTGACGTCCAAAGATCACTATGAATAATATCAAATGGCATAATAGTGCAAGAATTTGAAGCATAAAATGACAACTTAACATGTTTTCCAAGAGGACATGAATGGCAAATAAGAGAATCCTTAATTTGATTACATTTAATCAATTTATTCTTCCTAAGGGAGTTCAAAACAGGTACTCCCGGGTCACCCAAACGATCATGCCAAAGAGAAGGTGCTACGGTAGTAAATGTATATGGATTTGTAGGCTTGGTGATGGGATAAAGCTCGCCTTGACTCTCACACCTCATTACCGGCCTCCCCGTCTGAAAATCCTTTACAGAAAATCCAAAGGGATCAAATTCAACAGAAACAAAGTTATCAGTTGTAAACTTTCTAACTGACACCAAGTTTTTAACAAGTTGAGGAGCATGAAGGACATTGTTTAATGTTAAGGGAGGACACAGGGAAGACAATTTGGTGTGACCATAGCCATGAATTGGAATTGAATAACCGTTACCAACAATTATACCATGTTTGTTGCTCATATTAAAATAAGACGTGAGGTTACCTTGTGCGGATGTCATGTGAGAAGTAGCACCAGTGTCCATGTACCAATTTGCATCCGGAGGACTGATGCCAAGAGTATGCATTGCGACCTCTATGTCTGTTGGAGTTGGTGCTGCGGTGTAGGCTTGCGGAGGTCTAGGCCCAAGTACACTAGGCTGTTGACGCTGTTGCTGTCCAAATTTGGGCCTGACCCATGAATTAGTAGGGTACGGACAAGGAGGTGTAGCCCACGAAGCCATCTACTACCAAGGCCACATTTTTCTGCCAGGCCATGGGACATTGGCTAGAGCTTGCTGATTGGCTTGCTACTGTCCACCACCGCGGCTATCGTGGCCTCCAGTCGTACCCCCACGACTAGTGCTGCCCTTTCCGCCGCCACGACCACCATTGTTGCGACGATTTTTCCCTCATTATTATTGCGATTTTGGCTCCTCTTCCCACCATTATTGCAGTTCGAAGAGGGATAATCAGAAACATCAGGAGAGTCATCCGAGTCACAAGCAATCATGGCAGATGACGAGTTCTGTGCTGCCTTTTTGGCAAGGCCGGCCTCTTCAAGAGTGAGCATCGAACGGGCTTGATAAAATTGGGGCAAGGGGTCACTTTGGCGAATAAGGGTGGCCACACCGTTGTAGGGCTCGGTTAGACCAGAGACTAGTTGAAGAACAAGTCTGTTGTTGTCGACGGGAAAGCCGAAATTCTTGAGTTGATCCGACAGAGATTTGAGATGTTGACAATATGCAAAGACATTTGAAAAATCTATCATGTCTGTGTGAGTGAAGTCATACTCAAGGGTGACGGCACGAGAGTGTTTGTTATCTTGGAATATGTCACGCAATCTATTCCAAGCCTCCATTGCCGTGGTGTCAGGTTCAAGAATGGTATGTAAAAGATCATGAGAAATAGTGGCGTAAATCCACTGAAGAACAGTAGCTTCAAGGGTCGACCATAGTTCTTTCTCCTCCTCTATCTGAGGAATTTTCTCCTTGCCTTTCGTTGGAGGAATAATATGATCAATTACTTTATGGGATCGTGCGTGAATTTTGAAGAGTTTCGCCCATGTTGTGTATTGCATGTTTTCCATCTCAAGAGTGATGGGAACGTGGTTCCTGATGTTGGATACAGCAAGAGCAGGGTGAAAGGAAGATTTTGAGTCAGACATAGAGGTTGATAGGATGATGAAGAAGACAAAGAGGCAGGGGCGGAACGACGCTAGGGCTGTGAGCGGAAGTCAGAGAAAAGGTGAAGGATCTTTTCCTAAGAAATCTGATACCATAAAAGAGAATAATTCCTTGATCAATTCCATTAGAATCATTTGTATTATATACACATTATACAAAGTATAATTCAACTAGAATTAGGAAACAAATTAACTATAAATAAGGAACTAAATATACGCTTAACAGATATTATAATAAATCAGAATATATTATCATATATTCTAACAAGTGGTTTATAGTATTGCATGCTTAGGATTCTCTATTTTTTTAGGTACTTTGGGGCAAATTTGTGATCTATACAAGTGCAAAACTCACATCGTGTTGGGTGCGTCTTCGTGATGTCAAGCGAAGTTCAATCATGGACACTTTGTCTAACTCACGCTAAGCATAGGATCGGTGACACCAAATATAAGGAGAGAGAATCGTCTTAGGTTGGTCTAAGATTGGGAGAAGAGATAATCGTCTCGAGTTGGTGCGAGACTGGGTGTGGGATTTGTCGCGCCAAGCGTGAGGTCCCAATGATTCCCTATCTCAACCAAGCCAGGTGCGGGTTAAGTGGTGTCGAGCATGGACAAGGTAAAGCTTCCTGCCTAAATGGCATCAGGCCAAGGTATGTTGTGCCTAGCACAGGTTGTTTTGTATTTTATTGTCGTTTGGTGTTTTTAATTGTTAGAATATATTTAGCATATATTCTCTTATTACTTGACATTTGTATTGCTTTTAAATATCACTTTGTGAATACAAAGAAGTCAGAGAGAAATTTCATTTAGAATTCTTAGATTAATAGTATAACAGTATCTACTCCTTTACCCTATCAACTGGTCCGACCTGCTATCCACCATGGTTGAGCATCATACCCGTAAAACCACCATTGACCGCCTTGAGGAAGCCATTACGCAACTCACCCTATCCCAAACTACCCTATCCATAGATCACCATGCCCTTTCCACCAAAGTGGATACCATTCTTGATCGCTTAGCGACCTTAACCACCCAACAACCATCCACCCCGCCGCCCGCCTATCAAGCTGGACGTCCCTCGCTTTGATGGTCATGATTCCTTGGGTTGGATCTTTAAGATCAACCAATTTTTTGATTATTAAGGGACTCCCGATGCTGAACGTATTACAGTTGCATCATTTTACATGGATGGTCCAGCATTGAGTTGGTACCAATGGATGTTTCGTAATGGGTATATCACCTTGGCCTGGATTACTACAAGAACTTGAGTCTCGTTTTGCACCTTCCTATTATGATGACTGAATTTGAACGTCTTGCTAATCGCATCGTGGGCCTTGCTCCGATGTTTCTTTTGAGTTGTTTCATTTCAGGTCTTACATCATAAATACGTAGGGAAGTCTAGGCTCTGCAACCTACTTCCCTTCCTCATGCGATGGCCCTAGCAAAGCTTCAAGAAGATAAGATTGTTGATCGACATCGCCAATCTTGCAACCCCACTCCCTCTTCTTCGTCCGTTACACCGGCGTCATCTACTCTTGCACTTCCATCATCCCCGAAGGTCCATTTCAAACATCTTTTGTCGGCTGAGATTGCATCTCGCCGTGAGAAAGGACTTTGTTATCATTGCGATGAGAAATTCACACCGAGTCACCGTTGTAAGGGGCGTCTCCTCCTCCTTATTGCCAATGATCACGATGTCGATAATATCAAGGTATCTGAAATGCTAGTTTCTACCAGTCTTGAGGATAATTCTACTGAACCCCACTTTTCCACACCTCACATTAGTCTCCATACGTTATCTGGCATGCCGGCTCTAGAGACTTTTCATCTCTATAGACATATTGGGGGGACATGTGTCACCATCTTGGTTGACAGCGGTAGCACCCATAATTTTGTGCAGACACGGGTAGCTAAGTTTCTCTCACTTCCCATGCACACCACTCCTCCATTGTAGGTTATGGTTGGCAATGGTTCCATGCTAGACTGCCATCACCTTTGTTCACAAGTTACACTTCGTATCCAAGGTCACAAATTTTCTATGGATCTACATGTGCTTCAGCGGCGCAGACATTGTATTGGGCGTACAATGGCTCAAATCACTTGGGCCGGTTACCACAGATTATAGATCTTTAACCATGACCTTTTCTATTTTGGGCCAACCTATTACCTTCCATGTTGATGTGCCGATCTAACCCACTCAAGTTTCGACCCAACAAGTTAAACGAATCATCCAGACACATTCTGCATCTGCATTTTTTCACCTTACCCTATTACCGAATCCACCTACCCAACCAGTATCTGACCTTTTTCCCCCCACCTTCCCTGAGATCACTTCCCTTCTATCTCGTTACGCCTCCCTATTCCAGAAACAAAAAACTTACCCCCTCCTCGCACTATTCAACATCACATTCCCCTGTTACCCAATTCTGAACCTGTGAATGTAGGCCGTTACCGCTACCCACATTTCCAGAAAGCCGAACTTGAAAAACAAGTGTCAGAGTTACTCGAGTCTGGTATGATTCGTTTGAGTCAGAGCCCTTTTTCTTCTCCGGTTCTACTTGTCAAAAAGAAAGACAGGAGTTGGCGTTGTTGTGTTGATTATCGTGCGCTAAATGCCATTACCGTGAAGGATAAATTTCCGATACCTACTATCGATGAGTTGTTAGATGATCTTGGTGGTGTCTCATGGTTCACTAAACTGGATTTACGTCAAGGCTTTCATCAAATACGTATGGCAGTGGAGGACATTCATAAAACAACCTTTCGAACATATCAGGGACATTATGAATATAATATTATGCCCTTTGGCCTTTGCAACGCACCATCTACGTTTCAGGCTACTATGAATGAACTTTTGAAGCCTTTTCTTCGAAAGTTTGTCACAGTATTTTTTGATGATATCCTTGTTTATAGCCCTTCTTTTGAATCTCATCTCCACCACTTAGACTCTGTGTTTTCCTCTCTTTTGTAGGCAGAATTTTTTCTGCGATCCACCAAATGTGTATTTTCCCAACAACAGCTTGAGTACCTTGGGCACATTGTTTCTTTACAGGGTGTGGCACTAGATCCTTCAAAGATTCAAGCCATGGTTGATTGGCCAGTTCCTAATTCTTCTACTCAACTTCGTGGTTTTTTGGGGCTTACAATTTTATACCGCAAATTTATCAAAGGTTATGCAGCCATTGCTTTGCCTCTTACCAACCTTCTTCGCAAAGACAACTTCAATTGGTCCCTAGAGGCCCAATCTTCTTTTGATGCTCTCAAGCAAGCCATGATAACTGCACCAGTTTTGGCTTTACCAAATTTCAGTGAGCCTTTTACATTGGAGACAAATGCCTCAGGTTTAGCAATGGGTATTGTGCTTATCCAAGGGAATCATCCTATTGCATATTTTAGTAAGCCTTTTTGTCCTCGCCTCCAACGTGCCTCCACGTATGTTCGCGAATTGCATGCTATCACTACTGCTGTTTGGAAGTGGCGTCAATACTTGCTCGGTCATCCCTTCCGTATTCTCACTGATCACCATAGTCTCAAAGATTTAATGTCTCAGGTCATCCAAACACCTGAACAACAAATGTATCTCTCCAAACTCTTGGGCTATGATTATTCAATACATTACAAATCAGGGGCTAGTAATGTTGTTGCTGATGCTTTGTCTCGTATCCCGATACTCACACAATCCACTTTCTATACCCTATCCATACCCAACTTCACCTTCCTCGAAGAGTTACACAAGTCACTTAAGGACAATTTTGAATTTCGTTTGTTACTTACCCAAATTCGGGATGATCCTAACTCTCATGCTGATTTCCGCATCCACCGTGACCTTATTTTCTTCAAAGGCAAAATTTGGATTAATGTTGATAATCCATTGCGGACAACTTTACTGCAAGAGTTTCACCCAACCCCTTTGGGTGGCCATTTAGGGGTAGCTAAGACCCTTCATCGTTTGCAGGCAAACTTTTTCTGGACTCACATGCGAAAAGACGTCCAAACATTTGTAGCCCAATGTTCCACTTGCCAACTAATGAAATACGAGACCAAACGCCCAGCTGGCCTCTTCCAAACTCTCCCAGTTCCTTCGTCAATTTGGGAAGATTTGTCCTTAGACTTTATCACTAGCCTCCCTACTTCACAGGGTCACTCTACAATTCTAGTTGTAGTGGATTGTTTCTCTAAAGGGGTTCATCTTGGGGTTTTGCCTTCTCATTACTCAGCTTACAAGGTTGCTATGTTATTTGTGGATATGGTGTGTAAGCTTCATGGATTTCCCCGTAGCCTGGTGTCAGACCATAATCCTATTTTTATCAGTAACTTTTGGCGCGAATTGTTTGAATTGTCTGGTACCAAGTTACGAATGAGCACCGCTTATCATCCCAAGTCTGACGGCCAAACTGAAGTATTCAATAGGGTTTTGGAACAATATTTGCGCTCTTTTGTGCATGACAAACCCTCACAATGGTCAAAGTTCATCTCTCTAGCTGAATGGTCTTACAACACCTCTGTTCATTCTGGAACTGGTCTCACCCCTTATGAGATCACCTATGGAAAACCCCTGCCTACAATTCCTCATTATATCTTAGGCTCTTCCAATATTGAGGCTGTTGATTCAGTACTTACTACTCGTGAGGCTCTTTATGAATTATTACAAAAGCGTTTATCCAAAGCTCAGGCAGCCATGAAGCATTCTACTGATAGCAAACGCCGTGATGTACATTACGAAGTTGGCGACTGGGTTTATGTCAAATTGAGGCCTTATCGACAACTCTCAATTTCGAGTTCTTATCATAAGCTTTCTAAGCGTTTCTATGGTCCATTTCAGATTACTGAGTGGATTGGTTCTGTGGCTTACCGCCTACAATTGCCTCCTTCCTCTAAAATTCATCCTGTTTTCCATTGTTCACTTCTTAAACCTCACCAGGGTCCTTTGGTTCCACACTCTGTTTCTTTGCCAATTCCTGTTGTAGAAAACCATCCCATTG